GTTAAACTTTTAATAAATCAATATAAACACTTAACATGCTATTCAATGAATTGCTATATCAATATAATGTCAGTATCATTCTATATCTGTATAATCGTCACAAGATCACCGTTTAAAAATAGTACAACTTAAGGTACTTCAATATCAATATTTTTTTTTATATCCATAAACGAGTACCTTAGTATTCCCTCACTAGTACCATTAAGAGGTGATTTCATCATAATCAGTCATGCACATACAATCAACCCACATAAATATATTATTCATATGCTCATTGGATTCAATTCAACATATTATATAACGCATACACCACTGCACGATAATAAACAACTACCAACATTCATAATAATATGATTGATATAGAATAGAAATCTCAATCAAAATAAAACATGTAAACGTATCATTAACTGCATGACAAGAAATAAATTATTACTATATGGTGGGGGATTTTAAGTTTATGGTGTGCCACCATAGATCTCTAAAGATTTTCCATCTAAATGATCCCAAGAGATAAAGGCATTAGCTTAGGATGACTCTAGTTGTCAGAGATCAGACTTTCTCCTACCTTACGGATGTAAGATAAGATTTATTGTTAGTTCCTATGAAGGCAAGCCTTCATATTTAATTACATCTTTAGGGCTTGAGCTGTAAAAAAAACTTCTCAATTAATATGATTTGTCAAGTTGTCAGAGATCAGACTTTCATGATTGAAGGGTCCAAATTGGAAGAATTAAGTCCAAGGAATGAGACTTGCAATCCGATGAAAAAACGTCAGGGAAAGGCCCAGGATATAGGGATTTGATCGCAAAATGGAGGGAATCTATACTCAAATTAATGTCTGAATAGTCTCGGAAAAGGATTGATAATGAATTCAAACTGAGCTTAATTTAAATTGGATTTGAATTGGATTTTGGAGTGAGTTTGAAGTCAAAAGATGAATAATGAATATAGGATTTGATCGACAAGACCAATTGGGAACCTTAAATAAGGATAGGGTCAGGTATGAAAAAATTTCTAGATGAGAAATGAGACCCTTAACTATGTAAGGAATTCTATAGGCGGACTAATCTAGACTTTAGGAATAACGTTCCCAGTTAAGATGCCCATAACTTTTTATTGTCCTGGAAATATCGGTATTCGTCGACTATGACCAGCCTCATAACCAGTAATCCCTCTTATGTGCCAGAGCATGGAGGTTTCGTAATTTTGAAGCAGTCTTAAACACTTTCGTCAGTAATAATGAGTTAGTTCATTCTAAGGTATTCCCTCTAGCCTCAGGGGGTAGGTCTGTTGTTTTGCATGTCTTAATCTTTTGTACTAGCTAGATACCTATACTAACATAGAAATCTATACTCGGACTAACCTGGGGTATGTGTGTGGTGTCTATGTTAGCTAGCTTAATGTTCATGTCGGATCTGCCCTAGGTTCAGTTCTCGTTCTTTATCTTGGTGTGTTTTAGATGCTAGTTTAAAGTTTGGTATTTGCATTAATGTTTTGTTTGATTCCTAGGTTTTGCTAGTTATATTGAGAAATCAGAGGTTTTTTAAGTTTTGAATTTTATTTTATTTGAATTTTGATGTTTGCGAAGAAAACTGAGAAGTTCTTGTCCTTGTTTTTGTTATATATGTATTTTTGTTGTTTTTGCTTTTAAACATGAAATAACATATGAAACATGAAATAATACTTAAAAAAACATAAGATAACATGTGAAACATGAAACATGTATTTTTAGCCTTGGATTAGACTTGGGTTAAGTTCAGGCTGAGTGAGTTAATTTTCTAGCTTAGGGTAGCTTAAAATTGTGCTAAGGTTTGATATGCGTTGGACCTAGGCTTCCTCGGACTAAGGTGGCTTTGATTTGATTGACCCAGGTTAAGCCGAGTTGACTTGTATTGAGTTGGGTCGAGCTTGGTTTTGGGTTTGGTTTGGTTTGATTTGGTTTGACCCGGGTTAGCTTAAGTTTGATTTGAGTTTGACCTGGGTTAAGCTGATTTGACCTTGGTTGGATTTTGTTTGATTTGGTTTGACCTGGGTTAGCTTAGATTTGAATTAGGTTAGGTTTGGGTCGGGTCAGATTTGGGTTAAGTTAGGGGCTAGGTCTGAGATGGGTCAGACCTAGGTTAGATTTGGGTTGGGTCAGACATGAGTTAGATTAGGTTTGGGTCAGGTCAGAGTTAGGTTAGGTTTGGGTCAGATCTGGGTTGGGATAAGTTCGGTCAGATCTAGGTTTAGGTTAGGGTTTGGGCTAGACAAAGTAAGTTTGGGTTAGGTTGTGCTCGTCTCAATCAAACCCAAGCCTAATCCAAGGCTTTTGAGTTAACCTAACCTAACTTAACTTAAGAAGATAATAAATTCTTAATTTAAAAGAGAGAGAAGAGAAAGTACAAGGAGGAGGCTGACTGGAGGGGAGGAGGCTCATCGGAGAAGACTTCTTCCTTCTTATTTCTCTGCCGGGGAGCAGTGAGCAGTGAACCGTGTGGAGATCATTTAGTAAAATTTTAAGTGTTTTAGAGATCATTTAGATTTAATATGAATTTTTGAATAAATCATTTTTAAAAGCGAAATAGTTCTAATAAATCAAATAAGATGCAAAAATTCAGAAAATTTTAACATGGAGCTTTTCAACTTAATATACATTCATGAAATTTTTTTTTACATTAATTTGAAGTCATTTAAATCAAAATATCTAAATTCCTAAAAAATACAAAAATTCAACAAAACAATTCATGAAAGTTCACAAAACAACCAAAATTTCTAAAAAAAGTAATAATTAAGTTTATAAGAATCATATTCACCTTTTCAGGTGATTTATGAGATTTTATAAGATCTAATAATATTAAACCTTGATATATGCCTTCAAAAAACTTATAAATAGGCTTAATTAAAAAATTAAAATAAAATATATAATAATAATAATAAACCTTTTGGGTTTATGGGGGTTTCTTGGACGACACAACCAATGGTTGTTGACAAGCCTTATGGTTTGGGCAGGTATAACTACTTGTCTAGGCCAAGTAAATCAAAAAACATCAGCAGTACTGGGATGACGGAACCATGAAATCTTGACCGACCTTGCATAAAATAAAATTTAGTTAGCTTTCAGTGCTCACTTCTGTCATAATAAATGTTTTATATGCCCACTAATCTAAATCTGATTTGCAGGGCTACTATAAGTAAATGATAAGAACCTAGGATATGCCTTTCAAGGCATTGTTTTCTTCTTTTCTTGACTCATTTTCTTTATAGAGTTAGTTAGTATTGTGATTAGTTAACTATTAACATCTGAGATATCCAAAAGAAGACGAAACATGAAGCGAAGGTGGGTCCTCAACAAAACCATCAACATTATCTCAGATGATGTTGATTAACGAGTCTGACAAGAGTTTTAGGATTTTGATATTCTTCGTCTAATACGACGTAAATCCTCACATATTTTTTTTTTTAGGTTTTTGCATGTTTGTATGTCATGCAATATCAATCATAAATTTTTAAATAAATTACAAAATTAAAATATCAAATAGCTTCTTTTTTAAATATGCAAAGCCAAATCATAAGATAGTTTAAATGTCACTAAGGTTTCCTCGGTCTCTTCGACATTTTCTACTTTTCATTTTTTTGGTTTCCGAAAATAACTATTCCACATTGAACATTTCCCATTTAATTTTTCTATAATCAATCATAAAAACTAAACTTTGAAATTTATGAAGGCAGAACCTCAATCTTAATCGAGTTTTCTTAAGTGATCTCGATAACTTAAGATGTAATTAACTATATAGGTTTTGCGTCTATAGGAGATTAGTAACCAAGATAATCTAAATCCTATCTAATCTTCAGATTAGATAGAAGAAAGATCTGTTGGTATTTTCGCAGAACAAACAAATATTCCAAATTTCTTAGTTTGAATAATTGAATCAATTATTAAGTGATATTCTCATCTTTCGAGATGACATATTACTTGGAATCTTACATAGCCGCAGGAGCAGAATCAAGCTTCCTGCAATCCCGTGGCCGCGCATGCGCTGGCTCACGGGAAGGACACAAAGCCGAACCGAGCGGTCCCATGTTTGATTCATTTCCAATTTTAGCAAGTTTCCTTATTTCTTTTCATTCCTTTCTGGCCCTTTCCTATATATGTGCTATATTAGTGTTTAGATTTTAGTTTTGATTGTGTTTCCATCATGACAGTCGTCGACATCCCCTATACTTCCCTCCACCTTCTCTCAGCCGTCAACCATCCAGCCTCAACCCCTACCCCTATATCATAGCCGCAACCCCGCAAGTCATTCGTTTTGCTGTTTAGTTGCTGTCCTGCCATCCTGACACTGCCCCATCCCCTGCACTTCCTTGCCACCCTATCTGCTTACTGCCATCTTGGACTATTAAAATATGTTGTTCACCCGCTGTCTCCGCTCACTTACTCTGCCTTCCCACTTTACCGTCACCAATCCGGACCACCAACCGCCACGAACCACCACCCATTGAATGCAACTTTAGCCTTGTTTGTCTGTGTTTGATGTTGTCATTTTTCTTTTTGGTTGTCATTTGTAACCGCCAATTTGATTTCAATAGTAATAGTTGCAACTTTAGTACTTCTAACGTTAATTTGGCTTGCTTTTTCTATGTATGATCATATTTAAATAATGCATTTTTTCATGACAATCGTTCTATATGCATGGCAACTTCTATATAATACATTTATGTGTTTTAAATCGTAAGTGTAGAAAATTTAAGTTGCTTTTACGTACTTACCACCCAATTCCTATGTATTTACATATATAACATGTAACTTTTACTTTTTTACATTTATACCACCCAAATCTTTCGTATCACCTAAAAATACTACCATTTTGACTTTTAAAAGGTGAAATGCACCTTTTCATGCATATGTAAGGCGATATGTATGTAAAAATTGAAGTTTAGTTGTTAAATTTGTAAATGCAGGAATTGATTGGTGTCTTTGTAACTCTTCCAAAATTTAATTGTACCTTGTGTTTCTGTAGGTGGTTCTTTTGTTGAGGGAGAAAGGCTAATAAATGCATTTCGATGGAGAGAGACTGTTGGTCCATGGGAAGAGAGGCCTGGTCACTTCAATGATGTGTGGAAGTACTGGACGGATGATGGATTAGGATATTTTGAATTTCTTCAAGTATGCTTTATTTTCGAGTATTTTAGTATTTTTTTCTTTACAGTTAGATACAATTTTATTTTTCTGAACTGATTTTCAAAATCTGAGTTCAACTAATGACAATATACAATAGCTTGCAGAGGATATAGGTGCATCCCCAATTTGGGTGATCAATAACGGTATTTATCTAAATCTTGAAGCTGGATAATGAAGAGCTTTATTGGCTTATACGACAATTCTCTATTTCACATTCGTTCTTGTTATAGGGATCAGCCATAATGATCAAGTTGATTCTTCAGACATTCTACCTTTTGTCAAGGTATGCTATGCAAGTATTCTTTTTTACTCTATTTTTTTTGGGTTCCTAATACTTGGGTTTATTTTATTTACCGATAATGTAGACTCATCGTTGATTTTGTAAGCATGGATCAATGGCATAGAAATGATACACATCTATTAAACTAAAAGGGCATTTACATATCTAACACCTAAACTTCGATTTTATATTTATACCACCTAAATCTAGATAAAAAATATGACTATTATAACTTTTAAGAAGTGAAATACACACTTTCATGCATAGGTAAGGTGGCATTATGTAAAAAATGAAATTTAAGTGTTAGATATGTAAATACATAGCGATTAATTGGTAAGTATGTAAATCATCCTAAACTAAAATATGAATAGTCAGAAGCCATGTAAAAAATCAGGGAATGGAAGTAGATTTCTTTCATGCATGTATTCACAAGAGAAGGGATAAAGGGAGGATTCATATTATGTATAGATTTGGAGTTTATTTTTGGTGAACTTAATGTAGGATGGTCCAGGTTTTCTCATGTAGAGCTAGCAAGAATGGAGATTTATATGCGATCTTTCATAAAATAACACGCAACTTTTGAATTCTAATTGTAAAAACAATTATTTACTATGAACTAACAATGGTTGGAATGCGATTTAAGTCAATGACCTTGTCTTTCTATTATTAATTAATAATGAAGCACTAAAGATAATGAAAGCTACTCAAGAGGTTGAAGTTTCTCTTAAAGGAAAAAAATAAAGAAATGAGGTTGTAGCAAATCTGAAGGAAGCCAATCATCTTAAATTTTTAATAAATGGAAGGGGTATTTACATACATGCCTATGTATTTTACATATATAATGCCTAAACTTTATCTTTTACATTCATACCACCCAAAATATTCTTATCACATAAAAATACCACTATGTTAAACTTTTAAAATGAAATGCACCTTTTCAAACATAGTTAAGGTGACATATATGTAAAAATTGAAGTTTAGGTGTTAGATGTGTATATACATAGGAATTGAGTCATATATATGTAAATCTTCCTAATGGAAAAATAAAATAGGGAGAGAGAGTTAGAAAGGTGAAGGAAATAAGTGATAGATGAGCAAACCTTATGCTTGAACAAAGAGATTTGATCATCAAAGAGGCTTCATTCCTCATAATATGAACGTGTTGCAAAAAAAACCATAAGAATTTACATTAACGACTGCTAAAAAGCATCAAATCACAGTTCTAAAAGAGCCACAATAGCTATTGATTAGAAATATTAACCTGCTAGAAGGACAGCCTTATCTAGTCATAGGATATAATAGGATAATAACAACCTTGGGAATATGATAATAATTGCCTAAAGAATAGATCACTTTTTATATGAATATAAAATATAGATGTTAGCTGAGTGAACTACATTATAATTCAAATTTTTTAATCCTCATCAACATTTGCCTTATCCCAACTATTTGTAGTTGGCTTTAAAATTTTTTTCTTTTTCAAAATTTAAAATAATTTTCATAATGCAAAGTGTAGAAAATAAAACGATGGAAAACTCTCAAGAGTATTTTTTCCTTTTGGCAATTCAGTGATCTCAAGAGTATAAAATGAGGTGTATTGAGAGTTGAGATATAAATGAATAATAGCGAGTTGAGTAGTGTTACTTGAAAATAGTTCTTTATCCTGGACTTCCTGGAGAACTTGGTTGACTTTGTTTCTTCTTGTATAAACCTGAAAGAGGATAATTGTACAATTTGTATTTTGATAATTTTCCATTACAAGGATGTCGAGATGAAAGATATCATCAAATTTATCATTAACATATAAATTCTCCTAAAAATGAGTTCGAGTGAAGAAGTTTCATCAAAGTAACATTCTTTAAAGTGAATTTTTATGGGTGTATGATAACACCTATACTCTTTTTGTGTGACACAATATTTTGAAAAATTGTTCGTAGGAATAATTTAATCAAATAATGTAGTGAATTTTTGGAGTCAATTAATCTTAGGGGGTATTCTGTTGACTAAACAGGTAATTGTTAGAATAATTTCTTTTCAATACTATTTTGGTATATGATTGTGCAGGAGAAGTGTCATAGTTGCCTCCAAAAGGTGAAATTTTTTGTTTTTGTTACTTCATCTTTTTGGGGAGTGTCGGGGCAAGAGATTGGTGAATAACACTCTCTTTGAAAGAATGTTGTTAATGTGTATTAAATTAATCACAAGTATTATGTGTTCGAAAAAAAAAATAGAGTTAGATTAATTTTTTAACATGATAATGAATACGGGGAGTATAATGTTAATATCGTATTTTTTTTAAATTATATATACCCTTCTCATTCAACTATAGCCATTAATAAACATAACAAAGCCAATTGCTCCAACGATATTAGTGATTTTAGGGTGTCCCTAGATATCAAAATGAATTAATAAAGAAGACTAGAAGATCTAGAATTACTTTCAAGAAAGGAAATACAAAGATGTTTAACAGTTTTTTAAGTTTCAAAATGAAAGCCTTTAATATTTATATTTATAAAAAATGAATGAAACATACATTGAAGTTTAAAAGAAGGATATCCTAAACTATTATAATGAGTCCAAATGTTGTTGATGTGAAAGAGTATGATAGTTGACCTCGATCTTTAAAAAGGTATAATCCCCTTTTTTTCTAGCTTGCCTAATCATCTTACTCATAACAAGATCATGAGAAACACAATAATCAATAAAAAAAATATAATTTTGTAGTTGTGGTTTTGATAAGTTTATGAGTAGATAAAATGTTAACTTTACTGAGGGTTAGGTTGGGTATTTCTCTATTCTGCAATCATTTTTAAGGATTTATCCGCATCTTTTATTTTGTTATTGCTAGGCAGGGTTTGTAAGTTTGAAATATGTTGACAATGTTTATCATGTTGTCGATGACCCCTTAATCTAGGTTCGATGAAGGGGAAAAACTATTAGTGACACTAAGAGCATAATAATTAAAAATCACACCATTCTAAGCAAGTGAGAAAGATCCAAATAATTTTTCTTTGGAATTGAGAAAATTACTTAATTTGTTAATTTCTTTTGAATTGAGTCATTCTGTCTCCATTAGGTAGGCATGCCCATTTTATTTTCGTCTTTACTTCCTCCATGTTCTCAGGATTTTACATGAAATTCCCAACATTTGTTTTTGGCTTGTCACATCTTTTTGTAGTTGTTGCATTAGAGATTTTTTCTAAAGAATATTGTTCTTCTTTTGGAGAAGGTTCTGTGATAGAAAATCCCTTGCAATGGAATTTAAAAATTGTCATGATAGATATCCTGAGGGTTAGATTATCGATCATTGCCGTCTTTTTTCCTTCTTCAGCTCGAACAAGAGAGAATACTTAAATCAGAGAAGGAAAATTTTCTTTTCTTAAGACTTGGATTCAAATTTGGTCAAGTTCATTGTTAAGTCCTGACAAAAATTCAAAGATCCTCTCTCATTCGATGAATTTATAAGGATTGCCGCATTCTTACTGTAGGACCTCTTGGGATCTTGGTAATAGTCCAACTCTAACTCGCAACCTTGCTCTAATACCATGTATAAAATAAAAATTGAAAGGAAGTCATGAGAGAAGAGATGAATGCTTTAGAAAAAAATTTATACATAGGAGATCACTAAATTATCAAAAGGAAAGAAGGTTAAGGTTGGAAATGAAGACCCTAATCTTAGAGAATAAAAATAAAAGTTGAATGTGAAAACTTTAACCTTGGAGAATAAGAACAAAATTTGGAAGTGAAAACCTTGACCTTAGAGAATAAGAATAAAGACTGGAAGGAACACCTCAACCTTATTCTGATACCTTGTAGAAAATAAAATAACAACAACAACAACAACAATAAAGCTTTAATCCCACTACGTGGGGTCGGCTACATGAATCCTTTTTCTCCATTGCGTCCTATTTAGTGTCATATTTTTATTTAGTTCTAGTAAATTAAGATCATTTTTACAATAAGCCCAAGTCTTCCTAGGTCTACCTCTGCCTTTCTTAACACAAGTCAAATCTAAAACATCTACTCTCCTAATCAGATCATCAGATGGTCGACGTTTAATGTGACCGAACCATCTAAGACGACTTTCTTTAATTTTGTTCGTCACAGGAGCTACACCAACCATATCACGGATATATTCATTTCGCATTTTGTCTCTAAGTGTAAAGCCACTCATCCACCTAATCATTCTCATCTCGACAACACTTAACTTATTATTATGCATCCCTTTTAAAGGCCAACATTCAACGCCATAGAGCATTGCAGGTCTCACCACCGTCTTATAAAATTTTCTTTTCAGTCGAAGCGGTACTTTTCTATCACACAAAAAGCCCGAAGCATTCCTCCACTTCAACCAACCAACTGGAATTCTACTATTGACATCCCCATCTATATCACCATCGCTTTGAACAACGGACCCAAGATATCTAAATCGTTCACACCTTTTAATAATTTGATCACCCAAAGTCACACTTCTGTCACTAGAGCTATTGTTACTAAAATTACATTCCATGTATTCTCTTTTAGTTCTACTTAAATGAAGGCCTTTAGACTCCAATGTAGACCTCCATAATTCAAGTTTTTTGTGGGCTTTTTCTCTCTTCTTATCCACGAGAAGGATATCATCAGCAAAAAGCATACACCAAGGTAAATCCTCCTATAAATGTCCAGTAAGCATCATATCACTTGAGCGGGAAAAATTATCTTAAATTGTCCCAAATCGTGAAGACCTTTCTAAAGATAAATGGAAATATCCAACACCTTGTGGACCTACTTCCAGGCCCAAAGACCCAAATTTGTTACATTGAAAAAGAATTAATTCCATAACCATGACATGGTTGTGAAAGACCATTCTACCGAAAATCAACAATTTTTTTATGCTTCTTTAGAAACAAAAATAAGTTATAAATCTACTGAAAATAACCAAGTTATAAATAAATCTATTTAACCTATCCTAAATATATATTGTAGCATAACAGATCATGCTCTGGATTTAAGAAAATTTTGAAACATGATCTAATCTCTGTTATGTTGCATACCTAATTATTTATTGAACTTATTTTACAGCGTTGGTTCTGCTATAGGTCATTATTTGCATGGAAGGTTTACATACATGCCACTTACTTTATATGTATTTACATGTCTAATACCAAAACTTCAATTTTTAAAGATATGCCACCTTGCCTGTGCATGAAAAGGTGCATTTCATTCATTAAAATTAAAATACTGGTATTTTTTATGTAATATGAAAGCTTTGGGTGGTTTTAAAGTTAAAGAAGTATAGTTTAGCTGTTAGATATGTAAATGCATAAGAATTGGCGGTATGTATGTAAATGCCTTATTTTCATCGGTCATGTTGTGTTTGTATTCTTACCTGTTTCCTTTCTGCAGGATACCCTTGATAGTATTGAGTTTGCCAGGGGAAATTCACGCTCAAAATGGGGCTCTGTCAGAACAGCAATGGGGCATCCAGATCCTTTTCAACTTAACCTAATTGCAATTGGGAACCAGGATTGTTTCAAACAAAATTATCGAGGTTATACTTATATTTAATTAGGGGCATTTACTTACGTACCACCCAATTCCCATGTATTTACATAATCAATACCTTAACTTTGATTTTTTACATTAATATCACACATATCTTTCATATCACGTCACAAATGCCCCTATTTTAAATTTGTAAAAGGTGAAATACATCTGTTCATGCATAAATACGGTAGCATATATGTAAAAATTGAAGGAAGTTTAGGTGTTGTGTTAGATATGCAATTACATAAGAATTTGAGCGGTATTTATGTAAATCTTCCTTTCATTTAGTGGTCAGCATGGCTTGAAAATGCTGTTACGATATACTAGACTTTGCATATCAAGCGAAACTTTGCATTTTGTAATTTTTATTTTGTAGTTCTTCTTGTGGTTTAACTTTGCAATCATTATCTTACTTTTTTGTTTTGCGAATTAAAATCAAAATTTTAAATTATCTGCATAAATTATTGATGTCAAGCTTAACTTTCTTGTTGAAGAGCTTTATGTTTCAATGAAAGTTTTTAATTTTGTGGCCTTGATTTTTATATCGAGATACATATTCTGCATAGCCAGGCTTTCATTGCGATTGGGGAAACAAATGTGGAATGCCAACATAAGATATCAAAATATATTTAAGCAAAAAATCTAATTGTGAAAGACCAGCACACTATTTCCAAACAAACTCCATTATATTATATATGTAAACTTCGACTTTTCTCGGACAACTAGAGAATTACAAGTAGGCCCTTCACCAAAAGGTACATTGTTAGAATAACCCTCCATGGTAAATAACCCTCCATGGTAAAGTTCATCAAACAGCCTTGAGGCTGTGTAAGTACTATATTTCAATTATGCAACTACATCTATTTGGCTCTCTGAAATTTCATATGATTGGAATGATAGTTCTATTCACTGCTTTTGTAGATGAAAACCAACTTTATGTGTCATTTCTTCTGTTGATTGAAAAATAATTTTTTTTCGAAGATTTACATACGTACCACTCAATCCCTGTTTATTTACATATCTAACACCTAAACTTCAATTTTTACTTATATGCCACCTCACCTATGGTTAAAAAGGTTTATTCACCTTTTTAATGTTAAAATAGTGAAATTTTGATATGAAATATTTAGGCGGTATTAATGCAATAGTCAAAGTTTAGATGTTGGATATGTAATTACGTAAGAATTGGGGGCTATTTATGTAAATGCCCACCATTTCTTATGTTGCATCGCATGCACATTGACTTATTATGTACAGGAAACTACCTGAAGTTCTATTCCCTTATAAAAGCTGCCTATCCGGATATGAAAGTCATCACAAACTGTGACGCTTCTTCTCAACAACTCGATCATCCTGCTGATCTGTATGATATTCATGTAAGAATGTTGATAGCTCCCTGTTCTCAAGTTTGTAAGACTTAACTCACTTCGGTTCAGTGTGTGCAACATAGGTTGGACTAATAATAATCCTCGTTACTGCTAGGTTTATACGTCGGCTTCAGACATGTTTTCAAGGGTTCATCAATTTGATCGGTTAAGCCGTACTGGTCCCAAGGTGGGGTGAATTGAGGCCTATTTTTCATAAGCATCATGTCAATTTTTACATACATACGGCCACATTCCTATGCATTTACATGTCTAACATTTAAATTTTGTTTTTTTATATTTATTCCACACAAATCTTTCACATCACACCAAAAAGATCACTTTTTTAACTTTCAAAAAAGTGAATACACCTTTTCATGCATAGGAAAGTGAGGTATATTTGTAAAAATTAAAGCTTAGGTGTTAGATATGCAAATATATAGGAGTTGAGTGGTATGTATGTAAATCTTCCAATTAATTTTGCACGCAGTTGATTTCTTATACTTTCAGGCTTTTGTTAGCGAGTATGCTGTGACTGGAAAAGATGCGGGCAAAGGAAACCTCCGGGCAGCGTTAGCAGAAGCAGGTTTTCTTATTGGGTTGGAAAAAAACAGGTTTTTTATCCTTTCTTTGAGGGGTTCTGATTATTTTTTGACTATATTTTAAGTGTTTCAACACGCAGAAAATCATCTTACCACATTTGATTTGCATTTTGATATTAGTTTAGGTTGATCAAGCTGGACCTTGCCCAATGCACAACATGTTTGGGGCTTAATGCTTGTCCGAACTTTGTAAAACTTTCATTGATGTAGGACATGGATACCATTTACACAATCTAAGATGTTACGTCAAGCTCAGAATCTATTAAATTTGTAACCTGTAAGAATGGAGAAAATATTATTTTGATTTATCTGTAAATCAGGTAAACATTAATAGGATCATGGGTTTTGATTGAGCTTGAATCATCAACGACCTCCTTGATGGAACATTCATATGTAACATTGGGGAAAATAGTTGTAACATCGCAGTGAGAAAATTGAGGAGTAACTAAAGTACTTTAGTAGCTAGAATTGTTATTTTCCCAGACGAGGATCTTGAATTATTTGTAGCCCAACTAGGGGGGTGCATTATCTGGTGAATACTAAAAAATATTGGTCACAATTTTGTTTGGTGGGTTGGTTCAGTTGTTGAAGTACTAATTTGATTTTTGTTTTTAATTTTGACTTAATTGAGTTTTAATTATTGATTAATTTTTTTAAACCGATCATAATATAAAATTAAATTGTGTATTTTTTTTAAATATTAAATCAATAAAATCTGTGAACTATTAATAAGCAAGTGATTGAAAGTTAACATTCATATTATTTATTTCACATGCCAAAATTATAGTCTAAAGGTGATAAGGTTCATTGTTAAAGTCAATTACAATTTGGTCCAGTTAGTCGAACTACACAAATTAAACTTTGGTTTTGTTTGGTTAGGCTTGAAAAATAGTTTGGTTTGTTTAGTTTAAAATTTTAGAACCAAAATCATTTGGTTTAGTTAGTTTGTAAATCAAGACAATGTCAGTGATCTTTGAGATGGAGGAATAAGGGAGATATTGTCTTCTAATAAATATACATTAGCAAATGTAGATAGTAACTCAAGAGAGAAAAAATGAGTCTCAAGAGCATGAAAAACCCTTAATGGGCCAAAGCTGAAGAAGCAATTCCTAGCATGCTTGCTGACACTATATGATCACTAGTATCTACAGCACAAATTTCTTGTATGTCCAGACCATGATCAAAGAACAATTCCTAACAATATGAACCCTTGAAGAAGATTTTTTCGTCAATTTTGGATGCACTCGAAAGCATGAATTGGAAAATTGACGATAATTTTTAGCTAATAGTCACATGAAAAATTGTTTTATCATACTTGAGATAAAGTAGCAAAAACTTTAATCTCAACAAGATCACATGCGATAGATGAATGAGAGAGTTTGGCAATGGCTTCATCCACCTTTATTGGTTTTCTTAGAATTGATAACAATGAACATAGTGTAGATTGATTGCTGTAGTGGATATTTAGGTGATGGAAAATAACCCAAATTGGTGTAATACTATGAAGCATAGATACAAACACGGGAACACAAACACGACACGATACGAAGACATGACATATATTAAAAAATAGAACACAACACGTCATATATACATTTTTATATTTAATTAATTATTAATATGAAATAAATATTTTTTTATTATTCTTTATTAAAAATATAACAACACAAATTATACAAGAATAAAATTTAATTTCATAAATTTAATTTATAATTTATATAAAACCTTGTGCTTATGAAAATTAATTTTTAAAATTAGATATAATATGATTCAAAAGAATTCATCTAACTTATCTACTAAAATTTAAAAAATCATATGATTACAAAGATGTAATTACTAATGCTCGGTTTCGACAATTATTGAATACACTTTCGATGCTCAATTTTGGTGAATGTTAGAGGGAGCTTCAACATGACGAGAGATAGGACAGTTTCAACTATGAAAAATAGTTAATACTATACATATATTTATAAATTTCTAATTTATGTATCCCATTTTCTTGAAATCTTTTTGAGCTCACGTCTGATGCGGTGTTGATGTGTGTCCTAGAAATGTCTAACCTGAAAAAAATTCAGACATATATTTGTAGTATTGGAGAAGTGTCATGGCCTTTCAGACAAGTGTCTGACACGTGTAACACGTTTTTAAAAGTGTAGGTGCTACATAGATGGAATAGGGGGGTTCCTTAAAGGTATAAAAATATGAAATCCACTTCAACATATGCATCAGTTGACTATATATATAATATGAAAGCGAAGAAAAAAGTCTAGGTCAATATGATTTCCAGAGTTAATTTGATAAGCACAAAGTAGTAGCTTAGAAGACCAATAAAAATCACCAATTAGACGAAGATCAAACTAGAAGATCCAAATAAGCTTTAAGCTCAAATGACCATAGTAAAATTAACCAACCAAAGTATAGGAAAAACGCGTTGTCATATCGAAAAATTGTCTCCAAAAAAGAGAGAATGCGAGGGCAGAGAGAGAGCAACTTTACCTTAAAATGTAGTGGGTGGTTTGTTTCTCGTAGATTCCAAGCCATACTAAAAGAATATAGAAAAACTCATTCTTGGATCCATTTGCAAAGATCCCTTCTTTGTATTATCTTGATTGAACGAAAACATGCGAGTAGTAGTCGCGACTCGCGAGAAGCAGAGCACCATCATCCAAAATAATCCGGGAAGTAGGTGAACCATTGAGAACCGTCAGTACATTAAAAGTCAATACTAAAATAGGAGTTTATAAAAACAAAGCATTAGTCTTATCCTTGATGCCAATGGTGGAACACAGATAAATAGGGTAAATGAGCTTGTGCATGCGTAAATGGTTATGCAACAATATCATTTGATTTATGGTTTATTTTAGCTTTATTAGGGGTCTAGTCATTATTGTAATTTATATTTTCTCTTGCAATTTTTTATTTTGTGCATTTTGTTATGTGATAAGTTGTGGCTCCCCTCTATAGAAGAAGATGATAAACGAAGGTCTCTTGTTAATTGCAAGACAAATATGCTTCAAGTTTCTTCCTAATTTTGATATTGTTTCGGAAGATTTAGTCATGACTGCCTATATATAAGGATATCATGACCTTGAATTTTGATTTTGTTAAATGATGATTGAAATTGTGTTCCAATTCCCTCCCAACTTTTGATTGGTTTCTCTAATTCTTCTTCGTCCTTGCCCACGGTTCTTTTCTTCGTGAACTACATGGTGCATGATTTATAGAATAAGAATACTATAAGAAGTCAATATGTGCATTTTTGGCTGTCGTTAACCCTGATATTCAATCGGCATAAACTTTTCCCAATGAATAACACCTTTCAGCCTGTAATTCATGTAAATCAAATTGAGCACTAGTAAATAGTCTATTGATCTTAGCGATCAGTCTGCACTAGTGCTATTTTGACTGCTTAAATTAGGAAATTATCCATCGTAATTATTCAGTGATATAAACCACTCAAATTTGGTTTTATGCTGCTAGTTGTGATTTGAGATTTCTCTGTTCAATATATTGCTAAGGGGCAATTTGATATTGCTGTTTACCGAAGTCTGTTATATAATGTTATGTTATTAGAAAGATGTCATGTTTGTTTCACTGATATTTAAATAATAATTTCATAAATGACATTTGAAGTTCTAAATTGTTGATATCACCAACATCTAAATGTGAGGCCATTTAAATTAATGAAAAAAAAAAAAAAAAAGATTATAATTATCATTAATCTTTCTAGATAAGCACTAAATTGTTGGGGGATTTACATACATATCACACAAGTCTAATATACTTACATATCTAACACCTGAACTTTGATATTTGCATGCTTATCACTCAAATATTCGACACGACATCAAAAATATTACTTTTACTAACTTTTTAAAAGTGAAGTACACATTTTCATGCATAGGTTTGTAATAACAAATGTTTATAAATGTAAATATCAACTTCAGGTATTTGATATGTAAATACATAGGAATTTTGTTGTATGTAAAATTTTCTAAATTGTTTAAACAAGATAAAATTGAATCCAACACATTGCTTTTGAGAATGAACACTGTTATCCTCAAAGATGGCAATTTAATGTTTGTTTGATTTTGAAAGCCAATTTTTCTAGCTCATCACTATTTGTATGCAGCGACGCGGTTGAGTTGGCAAGTTGTGCGCCTCTTTTCGTAAATGACAATGACCGCAGGTTTTCTTCTTTCATAATGTTATCATTTTTTATGAGTTTCACTTATTATTATTTTTTTTATTAATTAATATTTGATTTCTATAAAAAATGATATCCATGTGGTCGAATTTGAACTCCAAACAGGCATATTGTATCCTGAATGCTGTATGATTTTTGCCTTGAAGAAGTGCTCTATGCAAATTAATTTATGTAATGTTGAAAATTTATCTTCTTGAGGTTGCTTTATGCTATATGAGAAGATTTGGAATAGTAATTCTCCACAATTAAATCATAGTAAAATCTAAGACGGCTGTAATAAAACATAGCCATCAATTCAATGAACTTAAATATAATTATTTGGAAAATTTACATGCATACCACTCTATTCTTATGTATTTACATATCTATTATCTAAATCTCAATTTTTACATGCACACCACTTTTCCTTTGCATGAAAAAGGTGTATTTCACTGTTTTAACAGTTAAAATGGTGGTATTTTTTATGTGATGACAGATTTGGTTGGCATAAAAAGCAAAATTTTAACTGTAGATATGTAAATTCATAGAAGTTGAGTGGTATGTATGTAAATGCCCCTAATTATTTATGAATTTTTATCACTTCAATTTTTTGTTTTCTTTTCTTTACCTGTCAGTGTTGAATATGCTCTTCTATTTCCCACTACTTAAAGATTTTTAGCTTATGAAATGAAAGCAACTCTCTTTTTAATCAAACCTTAAAATTATGAATATGATCTTTTGCACGAGAAGATTTAATCCGGATGCCATAGTTTTCAACTCATGGCAACAATATGGCACCCCTACCTACTGGATGCAACATTTCTTCAAAGAATCAAGCGGCGCAATCTTCCACCCCTCCATTCTTCAAAGCACTTCAGCTTCTTCTTTGGCCGCTTCTGCCATAACATGGCTTAGTTCAGAAGACGGCCGGACTTACCTTAGAGTGAAGGTTCTACGACCTTTTTTGTAACAAACTACGTTTTACACTGTGGAATGTTCATGACATATTCTGTAATTTTTTTTTTTGCAGATTGTCAATTTTGGCAATGATTTTACAAATATTGAAATTGTTTTGACTGGATTACAAAATGCCATCAATTCATTTGGATCAAAAAAAATTCTGCTGACTTCACAGAATTCTATGGATGAGAATTCCTTTAATGAACCAACAAAGGTATGTTATCTGCTAAAGCCTTAAATTTGCTTTCATTGCATGAATTTTTTTTTTATTTGCTAGTTTTTATAATGAATTATTGAGGTTTGTTTATGGATGATATGATCAATTAATTGAAAATTGAATGAAAGGGGAAAATGTGGGTTGAAGTTTGGGCATTGATGATTTTAATTAAGATTTTAATTAAAACATAATTAACCTTGAAGGATAGTTACTTTTCATTTAATATAGTTAATTAATTTATTAAATAATTATCCATGCCGAAACATGATTTATTACTAATAAAATGTTTACCTCCTAATTAAATCCTACTTAAATTTATAAATAGCCTAAGGAAATAGTTAATTACCAATTACTCTTACTACTTTCAAATTAATTAATACCCTAAGCTTAAGTACAATAAATAAATACTGAGAAGATATAAATGAATTAAACTCCAAATTTAATTAATCCCTTGCCTAAGAATACTTCTGAAATATTCTCTTAGAAACATTAATTAATCATTACAGTATTAATTATGAAATGTGAACAATTTATTAATTTAATTAAATATAAATAGGCACTTGTTAAGCTAGTTCAATTGTTTATTTACTAATTCTTACAGTCATTCTATCATGTCTAAAATTGTAGTTAGATACTGTTGAAAAATTAGGGCGAAGAAAAACAGAAATCAACGCAAATTCAGAAGAATACAGATTTAACGAGGTTCGGCACCTACATTCTCGAGAGCAAAGCGGCGAATTCCTTTCAATATTCAGAAAAGAGATTACATAATTTGGGATAACACCTAGGGTTACATACATACTATTTATAACTCTAGAAAACCCTGGAGTGCAATATGTAATTACCAAATTACCCTTGTACCTCACCCGCAACCCGCATAAGTAAACTCCCCTGATCTGGACAGAATCTTCCGCTTCGCTCCAGAATCTGTCACCTTGGCGAATATTCAGCCTCTTAGGATAAATACGTCATGGAGTTTCTTACATACCAAATGTGGGTTGAGCCACCATGCTTCTCTAGCTACTGCAAACATTCAACAAGTCCAAGCAATGCAAGAACTTGTTGATAGTAACTGACTTGGTCAACATATTAGCTGCATTCTCATCAATATGAACCTTCTGCAACAGTATCTCACCAGAAACAATCAATTCTCTGATCTTGTGATACCTGACATCAATGTGCTTGGTTCTCGCATGGTACACCCGGTTCTTAGCCATATAAATAACACTATGACTATCACAATGCAACTGAACTCTACATTGTTCAACGCTCAGTTCCTTTACTAGCCCAGCTAGCCATAAGGCTTCTTTTGCAGCTTCAACTACTGTCATGTACTCAGCTTCAGTTGTAGATAATGCCACAATAGACTGAATTGTTGATTTCCAACATACAGACCCTCCACCAAGAGTAAACACATACCCAGTTGTAGACCTTCTGCCATCCAAATCAGCAGCATAGTCAGAATCAATGTACCCTACAACTGAAGGATCATCCTGCTGACTGCCAAAAATAATTTCATATTCTACAGTACCTTTCAGATACCTGAAAATCTACTTGACTGCTTTCTAATGTCGCCTTCCAAGTCTAGTCATGTATTTGCAGACTTGAATAACAACATGAGCTAAATCAGGACGAGTACATACCATTGCATACATCAAACAACCAACTGCACTGACATATGGAACACTTGTCATGTCTTCGATTTCTGTATCTGTCTTAGAACACTGTTCTGAAGAAAACTTAAAATGATTTGCCAATTGAGTGCTCACAGGCTTTGCTTTGCTCATCTCAAACATTTCCAGCACTTTCTCAACATAGCCTCGTTGAGATAAACATAATCGTCTTGAGTCTCTGCCTCGATGAATCTTCATTCCAAGAATCTTCTTCGTATGACCTAAGTTTTTCATGTCAAATTCCTGGTTCAATAAAACTTTCAAACCACAGACATCATTTATATTCTTTGCAGCAATCAGTATATCATCAACATACAGTAACAGAAAAATAATAGAACGATCATCAAGACTCTTCACATAATCACAACAATCATGCTCACATCTCTTGTAGCCAATCTGAATCATGTAGGAGTCAACTGCTTGTACCATTGTCTTGGAGACTGTTTCAACCTATACAGCGATTTCTTTAACCTGCAAACTGGATGTTCATGTCCGGGTAGAGTGAACCCTTCCGGCTGCTCCGTGTAAATTTGCTCTTCCAGATCACCACGCAAGAAAATAATTTTAATATCCATCTGCTCTAAATGCAAATCTCAAATGACTACTAATGCAAGCACTGCCCTGATTGAAGTATGTCTGACCATAGGAGATAATATTTCATCATAATTTATCCCCTTCTGCTGTGAAAATCTCTTTGCTACCAGTCGAGCCTTGAACTTTTCCCCTTCTTTTTTTGATACTGCTGGTTTCCTTTTGTACACCCACTTGCAATCAATAACCTTCTTTCCCTCAGGAAGTTGAACTAGCTCCCATGTGCGATTTTTCAGAAAAAACTCTATCTCCTCAACCATTGCACCCATCCATTTCTCTTTCTCCTGACTAGTGATAGCTACTTGAAAAGTGACTGGATCATCGCTGCTGATGAGAAATGTATAAGAGACAAAGTCTTTATAACCCAATCTGCTAGGAGGCCTTATATTGGTGCTTCTCTGTCTGTCTCTAGCTAGATTATAATTTTGAAGATCATCTGGAATGGAATCACCAGGTGTTGAATTTGAACTTTCAACTCTCTCAGTTTTTTCTGGATGCTGTTCTAAATCCATCTGCACTTCATCTGAACTGAAACTGTTCCTTGCACCTTATCTTGATTCTGCTGTAACATGGACTGTTCATCAAAAACTGCATCTTTGCTGATCACCATCTTCTTTGCAATCGGATCCCAAAACTTGTATCCTTTTACACCTTTCGTATAGCCCAGAAAGATGCACTTTTTGGATTTTGTATCAAGTTTTGATTTTTCATCTCCAGGTATATGCACATAAGCAGGACAACCAAAAATCCGTAAATGATCGAACTTAACTGAATTACCTGTCCATACCTCTTCTGCGACCTTGTCACCCAACGATGCCCGAGGTGATCTATTTATGAGATAGCATGCAATATTCACAGCCTCCGGCCAGAAACTTTTAGGAAGTCTTGCATTCAGCCCTAAATATCTTGCCCTTTCAGTTAAGAACATGTTCATTTTTTTGTCACACCATTTTGTTGTGGTGTTTTGCGCACTGAAAAATGCTTCTGAATCCCATACTCACAAAATTTTTGAAACTGCGAATCTGTGTATTTTGTGTCATTATCGAATCTTAAATACTTGATCTTTCTACCAGTTTGGTTCTCCATCTCAGCTTTCCACAGCTTGAATTTAGAAAGACTTTAGATTTCTGCTTCAAGAAATACACTCAAACTCTCCTTGAGAAATCATCAATAAAGTTAACAAAATGCTGAGATCCTCCCAATGACGATTCCCTGGTAGGGCCCCATACATCAGAATGCACATAATTAAGAATCCCTTTAGTTTTATGTTTTTCAGTCATAAAACTAACTCTATTATGTTTTCCAAGAACACAAAACTTACAAAGATCAAACTTGCAACTTTTAACACCATGCAATAGATTTCTTCTATGCAATTCCGTCATCCCACGTTCACCGAGATGACCCAGACACATATACCATAACTTTGTATTATCATCATCCGACTCCACAGAATGAACTCCACCTACAACTGTACTCTCCAACAATTTGTAGATATTGTCTGCAGTTAACTTTCCTTTCATCATCGTCAGTGCACCCTTAACATGCACCCTTAACTGCACCCTTAACAATTCTGATGGTTTCCCTATCCTCATCTACCTTGGGAATGAAATCATTTCTATGTAAAGTGGCTAAGGAAATCAAATTCTTCTTCAGATATGAAATATGTCTGACATCACATAACATTCTTACTGTGTCATCATACATCCTAATCCTGACTTTTCTAATACCAACAATATTGTAGCATTTATCGTCACCTAGATAAACTGAGCCAGAATTAGTTGACCTGTATGAAGTAAACCACTCCATGTTAGGTGTTATGTGATAAGAGTATTCTGAATCAAGAATTCATGTATCCGTGAACTGAGTTGATGAAACTGAAAGCATATCGCCATCACTGCAATCTGAATTGTCACTTTGCACCACATTTACAGTCTTCGATGATCCATCACCACATCACCATTCTCCCTTCTTGAGCTTTGGACAATCTCTCTTCATATGACCCGACTCCTTGCAATTGTAGCACTCTGACCCGACTCCTTGCAATTGTAGCAATGAATTGTCTTTTTGTCTTTGGACTTGGATATGAAGTTTCTTAACCCTGCATTCTGCTTTCGCTGGTTGTGAGCCAACAATGCTGTAGTAATCTCATCAACTTTGATAGTTTTTTTCCCATATGTAAGAGTAGTCACTAGGTGTTCATAGGAAGAAGACAATGAATACAACAAATTTATCGCTCGATCTTTATCCTCATTATTCACATCAAGTCGTGACAAGTCTGTGATTATTTGATTGAAGTTATTAACATGCTGCACCAGATCAAAACCTTCTTGCATCTTCAGCCCATACAAATTTTGCTTCAGATACAATTTATTCGTCAGAGATTTAGTCATAAACTGAGTTTTCAATTTCTTCAATATCTCCCATGGAGATTTTCAATTCATCACGCGATACATAACTTTATTTGTCAGACATATGCGTATAGTTGTTGTCGCTCGTTGTTACAGTTCTTCCCAATCTTCATCCTCCATGACATTTGGTTTTGCTGCCCACAAAGCTTTCAAGATTCCATGTTGAGTCAATAGATCTTTTACTCTTGTTTGTCACAATCTGAAGTTACCAGTTCCATCGAACTTCACCACCTCAAATTTTGCACTAGAAAATGTCATTTGAAAACAACTCCTGCAACAAATTATTCTGCAACTCCTTACTCAAAATCTTTTTAACCTTACTCAAAATCTTTTTAAAAAGAAAAAGAAGGATTGAAAAAGTCCCTTAATTAAGTTTTCCAGAAAATAACAGGCTTTTTTTTTAAATAAAAGATTGAAATATTTTCTTAATTTAGCTTCTTTAATTAAACATTTCATTTCTGTGGAGATTCCCTATCTTCTTCACGCAGCTCCAGCAAATTTGGAAAATCCTTCCCAGCAAAGGAAATTTGCAGATTCAGAAAATCTTCCTGCTCGAGTTTCTTTCTTCCCCAGAAAAGAAAATGTTTCCAGAAAGGAAATTCCCTCTCTACACCGCCGATCCTTAGCACCCACAGGAGGAATCGTTGTCGAACCGATAGCCTTCGCACCTTCCTTTTGTGATCAGCCTTCCTCGGTGAACAACCTGCCGCGAAAAGATCTCAGCCTCCGCGAAATGGTTCCTGTGAACAGATCCTTCCTCCGCGAACACTCTGGTCGCGTCGAAGAAGCACTGTAGCCTTTCTGTGTCGCGAACTTCTCTCTGCCTTGCGAAAACCTTCGCCTGCTCGAACCGTCCGAAGTTTCATGCAGAACCGATCGCAGAAGAACAAAAAACCGCACCTTCTTCTTTCTTTGAACTTCGAACTGCGCCAAATCGGACGCCTAGCCGCCAAATTCCTCAACCAAAATCTTCTTCATTTCTGTGCTGTCGAATTTTTTTTTTCCTGCCCTTGAACCAGGCTCTGATACAACTTTTTTAAAAATTAGGGCGAAGAAAAACAGAAATCGACGCAAATCCAGAGCACAAAGATTTAACGAGGTTCGACAAAGATGTCTACGTCATTGGGAGCAGGGCGGTGAATTCCCAATATTCAGAAAAGAGATTTCAGAAAAGAGATTACAGAATTTGGGATAACACCTAGGGTTACATACAAGTCTATTTATAACCCTAGTAAATGCTGGAGTACAATATGTAATTACCAAATTACTCCTGTACCTCACCCCCAACCCACATAAAGAAACTCTCCTGATTTGGACAGAATATTCCGTTCTGATCCGCTCCGCTCCAGAATCTGTCCCTTTATGGTATATGAGTCATATCTAATAGATACAAATACTTAAATTTCTAATTAAAATATTAATGAATCTCTAATTGCACTAATTGTCCCAGAATATCAATTTCATTTTGTACGGCCATGATTAATATTTTAAAAATTAGAGCAACATACTACCCAATTTTTATGTATGTGCATATGATACGCCACCAACAAACTTTCATCATCCGACACAAATCTCGAGGCATTGACATGAATCTCGAGCACTTCTTTGAACAAGAAACATTCATACTTTAATTAAGAGTCGTCAAGAACTCTGATTTCAGCAAACTTATTGTCAAACTAACCAGCTTGATGATACGGACCTAATGATATAAAAACTAGTCAAATCAAGTCATTAAACCACTCTTAGAAGATTTTTGGACACATTTGGAATGTCAAATGGATATCGAATCTAGTAAGTTTATAATCGAATCGAGCGTCTCGACAAGACAAATCCATTGAGCACAAGACCACTCAGTTCTGACATCATTAAGGTATTCAAATGTCCATTAAATACCATCTGATTGAAGGAAGCTCTCCGAACAATCCGATCAAAATGATTCATATTCATGCAATCATTGCATCCATAACACTATAAATAGAGCTCTGCCCTTCATTAAGGGGAGCTTGAGCCTTGAGAGAGAACTTGATGCTCTGAAAAGGAGCTGAAGTTCATTACTATCCCAACCCTCGTCTACCATCGCCGATCGCCACCGACCACCGCCGACCGCGGTCGATCACCATCGACTACCGCCCTCCGCCGCTGACCTTTGTAGACACCATTCGACTGTCGTTGACCACTGTCGATCGCCATTGACAACCACCGATCGTCGTCGTGCATTTTTAATTAGACATCATCAGTCGACATTATAACTTTGAAAAATCTAGTAACAATTTTTCATCTGTGAGACGAGATTTCTGTAATCATCAATCAACAATGAATTTTTACAACTGAGCGAGACCCCGTAATTTTTTTTTTACGGTTTGTTTATGTAATAATTTCTGGTGTCATAACTGTTTTTTTGTTCATCTGAGTGTGTGTTGAATTCTCGTGCAACGCTAAGACGATAATCCGTTACTCTACCACCGCGAATTTTCTAGCATGCATCAACATAATACCAAAATTTTGCTTTTTACATTTTACCACCCAAATATTTCATCACATCAAGAATTCCACTATCTTAACTTTTAAACAGTGAAACTACATATTTTCATGCATAGGTAAGATTGCATATATGTAAAAATTGAAGTTTATGTTTGTTGTTGGATATGCAAGTACTTAAGAATTGAATGGTATGTATTTAAATATTCTATAGCTATGAAATTTGACTTCAATTAATTCATTTAAAATTAATTTAATACTAAACTTATGATATTGGTAAAAAGTAAATCTTTTTAATGAAAAATATATTATGAAAATAATTGTTCTTGGATGAAATTGTAAAAATCCTTCTTTTATAATTTTGTAGGTTGTTCCAGTTTCTAGTATGTTTCCCAGTGCTGGAACCAAGATGGATGTCATCCTTCTCCCACACTCCCTAACTGCGCTTGATTTATTGCTTGATTCCACTTCATACAGGTCTGCAATTTGATTTATTAATTATAATGCTCATGCATTCTGAAATTGCAGTGAAATGTAAATGTAATTCATGCAAATTTGAGATTTTAATGAATAAAAATGGTGTAATTAGGTTGATTTGTGCAGTCCTTATTGTTTTATGCATATTGTTCTGTGATGTAGAACTACTTTTATATGAAAGTTGAGCATTGGAATAAGATCATTTAGTATTTGAGATTGGTGTTGTTGGGGAATTTTTGTGGCATTTACATAGATACCACCCAATTTCCATGTATTTACATATCTAACTCCTGACCTCCACTTTTTGACATTTGCGCTGCTTAATTCCTCATCTCACATTAAAAAATACCTGAAATGCACTTTTTCAGGTATTGGCAAGTGGACATGTATGCAAAAAATAAAGTTTTGGTGTGGATATATATGTAAATGCACAGGAATTGAGTGGCTTGCATTTAAATCTTCCTCACATTTTTCTGCACTTGTGACGTTTAGAGTGCTGAAATACAATTATATTGGACTCCAAGCTCGTGTGTGCAAGATTTGTGGAGTTGGTAGAGGGTCTTCTTTTTCAATTAGGAGATTCAAATTCAAATCATAGTCTAATTACTAACATCTAATTTTTAATCTAGTTGCCATTAAGATAATAAGGCCTTATTTCAGGAGTTTAGGGTTAATTAGAGTCCATTTTGGAATGAGGGTGTGGTTTTGATGTTCGTTTTTTTCTGTTTGATGAAATTGTGTTTTATCAACTTGTTTAAAAACTGCAGTTGAAAATTATGTTTTCTCATCAAACCTGACTACCTGCAGTTAGGGCTGTAAACGAGCCGAGTTTGATCAAGTTCAGGCTTGGCTCGTGTTCGGTTCGTTTGAAATTATTCGTGTTCGAAATCGGCTCGTGTTCGAAAACGGTGTGTTCTTGTTCGGTTCGATTTAAATATTCATGTTCGTGTTCAGCTCGAAATTGGCTAGTTAAAATTAAACTGAAAAAATAGATGTAGAGTATTGGATTCGAGTTTGAACCAAATTTATGCAAAACAAGGTGCATAAGGCGTAATCATATTACCACAAGAGTAGTTATGATTTAAACTTAAATTTAAATATATATAATATATTATTATATAAATAATATGTGTAATATATTTTTATATAAATAATTATATAATTTTTTTTTATTTCGAGCTAAAATGATCAGAACACGAGCGAACGAAGAGATGTTTGTGTTCGGCTCATTTATAATTCGAGCTTTAAAAACTAGCTCGTGTTCGATTCATTTACTTAACGAACAAGCCGAACACGAGCTGTTGACAGCTCTACTTGCGGTGGCTGATTCAAAGCATAGCCATTTTTGGAACAACGACAACAACAATTTTCTATGCATATTTATGGTTTACCTTTTTTCGTAACATTTACATCTATGACACAATTTTTTAATCTGTTAATCACTTATTATTTTTAATTACAAACTAATTATGATTATGAGTATTTTTATAATTATCTAAAAGCTATAATTTATACAACTCAATTATTGTAGCTCAATGCAGCACAATATACATTATAATATCAATGATAGATTTAATCGCAAAACAAACCCTTCATATAAACTACAATTTACATGCATATTATATAAGGCCTAAACTATCATATTTACATTTATAACCTATTTATGAAGAGGTGTATTTAATTTCTTAAAAAATAGGTGATTGTGAGTTTGTGAAATGTTTGATGTGATGTCAATAATTTGAGTGCTATGCATGTAAATATTAGAATTTGGAATACATAAATTTTGAGTGTTATACTTTATTCCCACAAATATATCATAAAAATCAGTATAAAATATTATTTATTTAATTATTTAATTAGTTTAAATCACAATAACTTTAACACAATCGAATAAAAATTTGTTCATGATTGGCTCGTTTATAAACGAAGCTACAGAAATTATCTATGTTCGGCTTGCGTACTTAATGAATAACTCAAACATGAGCTAGACGAGCAATTTGTTTGAAAACCATAATAGCGGCAAGTCATAATCATTGATGTGCGAATTGAACGGGTCGGTTCGAGCCGAGTTGTGCATTAAAAAAAGTGCAATTTTTTTCTTTTTTATTGGTGGTGCTCAGATTTACATGTGATGAAATTTCATTAACGCTCGGATGCAGCTTTGCGCCTCGGGCTGTAAAAAAAGCTCGTTGTTCGTGAACAGCTTGTGTTCGGCTCGTTAAATAGCTCGTGTTTGGCTCGTTTGTTAAGTAAACGAGCCAAACACTAAAAAGTTTTTAAAGCTCGAATTATAAACGAGCGGAGCACGAACAACTGTCTGTTCGCCTAGTTTAAATCATAACATCTCGTGTGGTAATGTGGTTATTGCATTTTTTTGTATATATTTGGTCCAGGTTTGAATCACGCACTTTACATCTATTTTTTTCAATTTAATTTTTCCGAGTCAAATCCTAGTTGAGCACGAACACAAATATTTAAATCGAGTCGAACATGAACACACTGTTCACGAGCCAATTTTGAACACGAGCCGATTTCTAACACGAGCTATTTCGAACGAGCCGAACACGAGCCAAGTCTGAGCTCGCTCAAACTCGACTCGTTTACAGTCCTTTTTGCACCCAAACTCCGATCGTAATATTTTTTCTTGCATCCACACCATCTTAAGATTGAGAAATGATGATTTAACATTTAAATTTGTTAGCTATAAATTTGAAGAAAATAAAAATTAATTTTTTTTTCACACTAACAAGATAATAAAATTTAGAATTTTAACCATATCAAATTTAAATTTTGTTTTAAGGTTTTTTTTTAATTTTTTTTAATTTTTGGAAAATTTAATGGAATATTCTTAGAGCATTAAAATTTTATTTAATTTGTGTTAATTCAGATATTAATTTTTTAATTAAATAATTATAACTTATTAAATGAATTCTTACCGAATACAGCTGGGATTCTGGCCAAATTAGGGTTCCATAAAGCCGTTATATGGAGCGCAAAACCCGCTTGAAATGAAGTACCGGCCTCCATACATGTAAATCGACAGCTCTCCACGGAAGAGAGAGAAATCTCTCTCTCTCTCTCTCTTTCTCACAAATCCGGTTTGACCCTGAGGTGGACAGGAGCGACACAGAGAGAAAGAGAGAGAATGTACAGGAGCAACTTGTTTTGATCTGAAGGAGAGGAAGTATGAGAAATGCTAGAGATGAGATGGTGTGGGAGAGATAGGGTTTGAAGGAGGTATTCTTCTGGTTTTCACTCTCGATTGTCAACTCTTCCTGTCTCACTCGTTGTCGCATTGGCGCTAAAGCCTTTATTTGGATTTGGAAAGTTTTGGTCAAGATCTCAATTGGGTCTTGCTGCGTTCTCTCCGATTTGATCAGTTTCATCACGCAAGGCATGGCGGAATCTGATCGCAAGAGGCTTTATCAAGTTTGGAAAGGAAGCAATGTGCGGTTTTCTGTTTTCGCCCTTTTCTCTCTCTAAATTTGATCGCTTCATTATTTTCTCGGTGAAATTGATCTAGGAGATGTTCAAATTCGTATAGCTTTTTTTTTTTCAAAATTAGATTAATTCTGAAAATCATTAGCTCTTAAATCACGCAATGGCGGTTGCATTTTTAAGATTATTTGGCTTTTTTGTGATCTCCCCATCGGTTTTCTAACAAGAAGCCAGCAGATAAGCTATCTTTATTAGCCCCTTCCTCATAATGCAATGGATTTTTGTTATTCTATTGTAAATTCATTGTTTCTTGACTATAGCCATGAAATTTGCAGTTCGTTCTGTACTATGAGCTTGTTGGCGTTGAGATTTATAACGAAGCTGAATCCAAATTGTTTAGTTAGGGTTAAAGATTGTTAATATATTTCTGATTGATTTAATGACTAAGGTTTGAATCATATAACCCTAAAAAACATCACTTATAGAATCAAATTAGGGCAAAAGGTGACATTCACGCCTGAAAGGGTGAAAGCTGGTTTCCTTTTGTCTATGTGTGAAGGTTAAGTTTGATTTTCTGAAACAAGTCCTGATATTTTTCAGTTTTTACAAAATTAATCAGACATTCTTCTCTCTTCATCCGACTGTTCTATTGTATAAAATGTTTATATTGATGAAAATTTTTTTTATTTCCTCTTTCTCAGAGATTTTTCTGTGGAGGGAGATTGATATTTGGTCCAGATGTAGCTTCAGTGTTTCTATCAATACTCCTAATTGCTGGTCCATCCGTCACATTCTTTGTACAAGTTATTGCAAAGATCCATAAACATGAAATCCATAAGAGCAAGCTTGTGAATCTTTCTCACAGTCATATACTTGGTTTTCCGGCGCTGATTGTGGGATTATTTATCACATTACTTGTATGTGATGGTCAACTTTTCTTTTTCAAGTCATTTGTTGATATGAAAAATGTATCTTTTTATTTGGAAGATTTACATACATACTACTCAATTCCTACATATTTACATATTTGACTCCCAAAATTCAATTTTGACATACATACAACCTTACCTATGCATGAAAATGTGTATTTCACTTTTTTAAAGTTAAAATGGTGGTCTTTTTATGTGATATGAAAGATTTGGGCGGTATAAATGTAAAAAAGCAAAATTTAGTTGTTGGATATATAAATTCATAGGAATTGATTGGTATGTTTATAAACACCCCTTTTGATTTCTCTATTTAGGGTATAATTGAGCATATTATGTTATTAATGATGTTATAGGTATTGGTGTTCCTATTCGTGACATCTGGGAGAGATCCTGGTATTGTTCCAAGAAATAATCGACCACCAGAGTTACATGAAGCTTTTGATTCTGTCACTTCTTCTATGGAATGGATCAGTGGTACGTTACCAGATAAAAAATTACCGCGCTCGAAGGATGTATTGGTGAATGGTGTAATTGTTAAAGTGAAGTACTGTGAAACGTGTTTGCTCTATCGCCCACCTCGCGCTTCTCATTGTTCTATATGCAACAATTGTGTTCAGAAGTTTGATCACCACTGCCCGTGGGTCGGTCAGTGCATCGGAGTGGTAAGTTTGTTGTATTTACATGCTCAAGTTTTAATTTTGGGAAATTTACATATGTATCACACAATTTTTTGTATTTACATATCTAACATATGAAATTTCATATTTTTATTTATAACATTGGTGTCATAAACATATGCATAAAAAGGTGTATTTCACTTCTACAAAGTAAGTAGTAGTTGTATTTTTGATGTGATGTTAAAGATTTGATGTTGTGTATGTAAATTTAGAAGTTTAGGCGTTCGATACGTAAATACATAGGAATTGTGTGGTATGTTTGTAAATGCCCTTCTAAGTTTTTGAGAGTGAAACAAGAGCCTTGCTTTTCTTACTCAAATGTTGAGAGCAGTGGTGAAACTTAATTCAAGTACAAAGAGCAAAAAATAACAGAAGGAAGATTGGAATATCAATGAGAAAAAATACAAAAAATTTATGTAGGTTCTTGTTATGCTGTTGCATAGTCTAAGGGCAATTATGTCGGATTTTACAAGTTCTATCCCATGGATGGCTACATGTTACCGTATTGCATAGATTGTTATGATTGATTGCAGATAATTCTTCTATGCAACATAGAGACAGCACCCCCACTTTATAATTAAAATAGTAAGATAGTCAAAGTTACAATAAAATATTCAAATTACTCTTCAAATATTCGATAAATGACTGCCTAACATGTTTTTTCTTTATGGAAGATTTGCATGCATACTCTCAATTCCTATTTGTTTACATATCTAGCACCTAAACTTCATTTTTTACATCTATACCACTTTACCTATGCATGAATAGTTGTCTTTAACTTTTTAAAATTTAAAGTAATGGTATTTTTTATGCGATATAAAAGACTTAGGTGGTATAAATGCAAAATGTAACATTTAGGTGTTAGATGTATAAATACATAAAAATTGGGCCGCGGTACATATGTAAATGCCCCAACTTTAATATTATGTTTTTGCTTGGATCTGACAACATATTTTGAACGAATGCAGCGTAACTACCCATTCTTTTTTCTATTCATATCATCATCAACCATTCTTTGTATGTATGTCTTCACCTTTTCGTGGCTTAATATTATTGCCGAGAAGAAATATTATGGAAATTCACTGTGGAAATCCATGAAGGGGGAGGTGTTGTCACTTTTGCTCATAGTTTACACATTCATAGCTGTCTGGTTTGTGGGAGGGCTCACAATCTTCCATCTCTACTTAATCAGCACAAACCAGGTAGATCTTTTCTGAATGAATTTTGTATTTCTTTTCTTATGAACCTCTGTGTTGATTCATGGTCTTAACAATTAATTATTGGGAAACTTAGATACATACCATATAATTCTTATGTATTTACATATGTATCACCTGAAGTTTGATATTTTCATAGATATTATGCATGAAAAGGTGCGTCTAATTTCAAAATATTAGTAAAAATGATGTTTTTGGTGTGACGTGAAAGATTTGAGTGTTGTGAATGTAAAAATGACAGTTTAGGTGTTTGATATGTAAATATATAAAAATTGTCTGGTATGTATGTAAATTTCCTTTAATTATTCATGTTTTGAGTTCTTTCATTAACTTCTGTTGTTGTAGACAACTTACGAAAACTTCCGGTATCGGTACGACAAAAGGGAGAATCCATATGATAAGGGCATAATCAGAAACTTTGGAGCTGTTTATTGCTCAGAGATCCCACCTTCATTGCATAGCTTCAGATCATGGGTGATCGAAGAGGAAGTTAAAGTAGAATCCATGCATTCTAAGCCATGCACGGATGGAATTTATCGTAAGAATAAAATGGATTTAGAAATGGGTGGAAAAACAGGCCTAGATGATGGCCATGATCCCATTCCTAAACTCTTAAAAAATCTGGATTACAGTGAAATTAGTGATGATTTGAAGATGGATGATGGGAGTGAAGACGAAGAGATTGTCCCTTTTACTTTTTCGGTTATGCAACAACCTGTTGGTCTCGTGGCAAGAGACTCGAACCAGTGCTGCTTGGTTTCAGATGGAAGAGTTGTAGATGAGAATGCTGATGAGGGGCATTTCCCTAATCAAAGCTTACATCCTCTTCATGCTATGTTGAAATGAGGTAATTTTTATTATTATTCTTGCCTGACTGCTCCTTTTTCCTTGTATACGTACAAAAGCAACAATATATATATATATATAGATAGATAGATAGAGAGAGAGAGAGAGAGAGAGAGAGAGAGAGAGAGAGAGTGTGTGTGTTCAGAATCTAGTCCCTTTATGCAAAAGGTGTATATTCCATTGTGTCCAAGCCTTTAAAAGCCAGACTAAATTGGTCGGTTTGACTAGCTCAACTGTAAACCGGTCATTTAGTCGGTTTGGTTTAAGCTCAAAACCTTTCTGAATAGAAAATCGATTGAACCGGTCAAAACTTCTGTTCAACTGATGAATCGGTGAACTCTCATTTTTAAAGAACTCGTAGGTTTTGATACTATCCAATTTTAACATTTTGATTCTGATTCGATGACTTGAGATAACTTATTTAAATTAAAAATAGAGAGAGTGTCACGTCTCAAAATTTTTATTTAAAATCTTCTTCAAAATATTAAAAAGTGAAGTGTCTTAAATTAAAATATTGAATATTAAATCAACAAAAACGATATTATTGTATCATACTTTTATTATTTAAATTATATTAAAATATTTTTTAATGTTTATTATGTCATCTTGTTCAACTCTGATTTAAGCATTGAAACTTGAACCTCTTATTCTTCCGATATGATGATTGGTTCAGTTTTCACAATCTTGATTGAGTCATTAGTATGATAGAGGAATCATGTTCTAATTCGGAATGGATTAATGGAAACTTTTAATTATAGTTGAACTCTAAACATATTTTGTGGCTTACTGAGGAACCGTGAATGTGAACCTGCAGACTAATTTGTTATGTTAATGAAATGCCATGGAAGGGAAGCATTTATATTTTCACTGTCATTTTCCATAATTATTTATCTTATTAAGCTCTATTGGTGACAATTTATTTGAGGGCCAATTGCTGGCGCCTTGTAAGCTTATTAGTGAGCTGAATTTGATTAGACTAAGCCGCGGCCAAGTTTGGTTTGGTTCGGTTTGATACCAAAACAAAATTAAGTTTACATGCTCTGCACTCATAGTACAAACAAACCCTTCAGAGGAAGATTGAACTTTAATGGAAACTTTAGTTATAGTTGAACTCTAAACATATTTTGTGGCTTTGTGAGGAACCGTGAATGTGAACCTGCAGACTAATTTGTTATGTTAATGAAATGCCATGGAAGGGAGGCATTTATATTTTCACTGTCATTTTCCATAATTATTTATCTTATTAAGCTCTATTGGTGACAATTTATTTGAGGGCCAATTGCTGGCGCCTTGTAATCCTATTAGTGAGCTGAATTTGAGTAGACTAAGCCGCGGCCAAGTTTGGTTTGGTTTGGTTTGATACCAAAACAAAATTAAGCTTAAATGCTCTGCACTCACAATACAAACAAACCCTTCAGAGGAAGATTGAACTTAAATGCTGAATAGGGAAATCCAAAGCCACAACCATGCCAGGCTTGCAAATTTTTTATGGGGACCAAATTTTGTTTCAGTCGATATGTACAAAAGTATTCTCATATTGTAATATTAGTCTCTCATTTTTGATAGATATATTATCATTAATAAGGAGGTGTACTCCATTGTATTTGTAATCTTTATTGTTCTCTTCTTCAAGTTATGGACATTGTAAATGCTTGTAAAATTGCTATACTTGGTATGTCACAAAGGCCCTAGTTTCTACTCCTAATCCCTCCACCATCATTGATGATTCTCTTTTCTACCTTGTTGCTCTATCTATAATATTGATTTGCATGCACTCTTTGTTTAAGTTAAATTACAATCTAGCATGCCTCTTTCCACTTGGATGTCTACTATATCAGGTACTACTATTTTGTATTTTGATTCTTCATATATCAATCGTATGACCGGTTTTTTCATTCGTATTCTTCATTTGATACTTCGTTTAATAAATTTGTTTATAAGCTTTAAACAATTCAATTTATAATCATAAACAAATAAACAAACTTTTCAAATTTGTTCATTTAACAATCAAATATATATAAAAATATTCAAATTTATAAAAGCATTCATTGATCAATGAGCAAGCTCTGATCGAGTTGAGTCATGAGCAGCTTGTAGAATACTCCGTTCATTGATAGACCTCAGTTCGACATTCCCGCCTTATGTCATTCTCTTTTCGTTCTCTCTGCAATTTTATTGCTATTGCTCAAATTTATTTATTTTTTTTCTTTTAATGTTTTATTTGCCCACAATAGAATTTAATGCCTGGAAATTTGCATGGCTGATACACAGATTCACATGCCATCTTTCAAGAACCTCAAATGCATGATTTGCATCCATTTGAAGCTTAGAACCATAACACAGATGGAAGATTTGTCATCACTGATGAAGAGAATGAAGGAATCAGATATGGATTAAAATCTATGGTTGATATAGCTTCAAATAATGATTGTGTATAACTTTTTTTTTTTGGCTTTTATTTTATTTTTGTTGGATGATTGCATAGTCACTGTTGTAGATAATCAATATTGTTTTGTTTGATTAAAGATTAAAAAAATGCACATAATTTCTTGTTAAACTTGATAAATATCAGAATGTGGCGGGGGGGAAGGTGAGCTCAGAAAGCAATATCCGTGATTAGAACGCACGACCTTATAGTGAAAGACTTGTACTCTTAACCATTGTGCCGCATATAAGTACATCTCTATTAGAAAGTTTGTATGAAAGTTTAAATAAAATTATAGAGCAATCATCAAGAATCGTCTCTTTTTTTGTGTACCGAAGCTTGGGCGAAAGAGGTCAAATTTATGCTATTTATCGTCATGCATTTTTTCATGCAATATATTGTATTCAAGTGGTTGAATGTTTTCACTCCAATTGCAAAGACTTTAGTTTCATTAAAAATCATTGAAGACACAAAATCTTCATCTAAAATATATATTTTCTTTTGCAATTTTGGCTCAAATTGAGTTTCGAAAAATCTCCTATTTGGCTAAAGATTTTTTTTTTCTAAATAATTCGAGTTGAGTGTTTATTATCAACTAATAATCGTAAAACTATTCTTCAAGGGTTGATTGGTCGGTAATTTTATCGGTGTATTGTATTTCTAATGTGTATGGATTTTAAAAATTATGTCGTTTGTTCATAAATAATTGCAATTCAATGAAAAATATAATTGTATTTGAAATTCAGTTCTTAGTTCATTTTTTCTTGAATTTATAATATGGTTGGACTTAAAATACATAGGTTAATGTAAAGTGTTGTCCTACTGCCATTACTCTTGCATTGTTTTCATTTTACACTGCATTACTTTTTTCAGCAAACCAACAGGCCCTGCAACTGGCTTAAATTACTACAACTTAAAAACTTTCACTACATTACTAGCAAGAGTAAGTTTTAAAGTACACTTCATTTGAAATTTAATTTCTATTAAGAGCTTTTAAAAAATATTATTGTAAAATAATTAATTTAATATTTGAAGATTAAATTTGAAAGTTATGGCAACTACTTCATAATTTTTACTAAACTAGATAGCACAACAAAAGGTTTTGTGTCACGTCCCGGGTTTAGAGAGAGGCCTGGTCTGACAACATAGAGCGCGAGGAACTGATGTGACCTGCTTTGTATTCTAAAAAGGAAAGATTATACACAAGTGGAATTTAAAATAAGCAAAGAAATGTAATTTTATTTTATTTCATGATTAAGGATTTCACAACTGTTGCAATGGAAGCATTTACATGTATATCTTTATGTATTTAGATATCAAACGCTTATAATTATATATTTACATGCATAAAACTCAAATTTTTAACATCACATAAAAAATGTCATTATTTTTAATTTTTCATAGATTTTTATGCATACCATTCAATCCCTAAGTATTTACATATCTAGCACATAAAATTCAATTTTTACATATCTATCACCTTATAATTACATGAAAAGGCATGTTCCACCTTTAAAAAGTAAAAATGGTGATATTTTAGATGTGTTATGAAAGACTTGGGTAATGATATCAAAATGTTATAAATATAAATATAAAGGTTTGGAGGGTACATACACAAATAAATGAGAATTGTTACTTATCACATAATTCCAATACATTTACATATGTAACCCCCACTCTTTAATATTTTCATACCAAACACATAAATGTTTGACATCCCATCAAAAATTAAACTAGCACTACCCTTTTAAAAGTGAAATAAGTGTTTTCACGAATAAATGTTGGGGCATTTACATACATGGCACACAATTCTCATGTATTTACAAATCTCATATATAAACTTTCATATTTACACACATATCATTCAAATCTTTAATATAACTATTACCACTTTTTAAAAGTAAAATACACATTTTCATGCGTAGATTCAAAACATCAAAGTGTTATCTATATAAATACAGAAGGCTAGACGTAAGATATGTAAATACATAAGAGTTTCGTGCTAGGTATGTAATTTTCTCTAAGTTTTAGGATTGGTACGGGGCAACTGAAACTTATCAAAAGACAACTGTGAAGCTGCTGAAAAATAACATGATATTCAAAATGTTGTGTTGACAATTATATTTTTTTAAAAAAAAATCAGATCGTAGCTATAAGAAAGCTGTCATCGCACATAGGCAGAACCGGTGGGAAAACGAAGATTTCAGCGGTAGTTTTTTAAAAAAATTGTCAAATCAGTTTACCCAAACAGATAAAACTACGATATGCCGCCCCCAAACGAACCCTTCATATCAATATGACATAAAAATAAATATCAAATTTTAGGTGTTGGATAATTAAATACATCAGAATTGTGTGGCATCTAAGTTTTTCTAAGAAAATACCATTTGATTTGCCTATTATGGTTCACACGTGTTCCACTCTACACCATTATTTTGCTAGATTCGATTATCCACAAGCGCACAATTACACGTGTCATTATCTCATTAGAAGAAATAGATTCCCATAGATAAAAACCCTAATCCCAAATCTCAAAATTTCCCAATTCTCCCCTTATATTCCTCATTCGATCCCCGACTCCGCCCTCCCCATTCCCCCTCTTCAATTCCCAAAAATGGCGGCAACCGCAATAGCAGAGCTCGCCATCACAAAGCCCTTCAGCTCCATTCCCAAATTCAGCCGACCGCCAAACTCTAAATCCGCCTCCTTCACTCCGTTCCTCCACATCCGAGCCTCCACCGCCACCCCCGCCGCGCCGCCGGCGAGAGGGAAAGGGAAAGGGAAGACGGGGATAAAAGAAACGCTATTGACGCCGAGATTCTACACAACTGATTTCGACGAAATGGAGCAGCTATTCAACAAGGAGATTAATAGGAACTTGAACCAGTCGGAGTTCGAAGCTCTGTTAAACGAGTTCAAGACCGATTATAATCAAACTCACTTTGTTCGAAATCCTGAGTTCAAGGAGGCGGCGGAGAACATTCAGGGACCTCTCCGGCAGATCTTCGTGGAGTTTCTTGAGCGATCCTGTACCGCTGAGTTTTCCGGATTTCTGCTGTATAAGGAGCTTGGGAGGAGGCTGAAGGTTCGATTTTTTTGGGGGGCTTTAGCATACATTCCACATAATTCTCATGTATTTGCGTATTTAATATCTAAACTTTTATATTTGCATACGTATCACTCAAGTCTTTAATATCACAATTACTTGCTCTTTTAAAGTGAAATGTACATTGTCATGCATAAGTCTATGAAACCGAAATGCTATAACTATCAAACTTTAGGTCATTGGATTTGTTAATACATTAGAATTGTGTGGTAGGTATGTTGTGGGTAACATTTATTTACATGCATATCACTCAATTCTGTAACATCGTTGTTCGGATGCAATATTTTCTCCACATTTAGGTGGTGTTTCATTGCGTCCTGGATTTACATTAAAGTAGGATTTAGTAAATCCCATAAATTTGGATTTATCAAATCCATATTTGACGGAGAAACGCTTGTGAGTCAAATCCCTCAAATCCATTTGGGTCCAACATTAGGCGGAACAAGCGAATAATCGATTTAACGGAGCGCACGAATTAAATTTCACATTTTTAGTGTTTGGTTGGATTTATATTACATTTATGGTTAAATCGGGTTGAAAGTATGCTGCCAAACACCCTCTTAAAATACCCACCATCATTATCTTTTCAAAAGTGAAATACACATTTTCCTGCGTAAGTCCATGACACCAAAATATTATTGATGTAAATATCAAATTTTTGTTGTTACATATGTAAATACATAAGAATTGTTTGGTATGTATGAAAATTTTCTTTTTTTTTTCTTTTGCTCCTTACTAATTTGTGAAGGAGAGAGGTTTGATGGGTTTGGGTTTGAGCTAGTTGGTTGATCTCCTGGTTTTTGTGACAGAAAACTAATCCGGTAGTGGCGGAGATATTCTCACTTATGTCCAGGGATGAAGCCAGGCATGCTGGGTATGAATTTCTTTGCAATAAAAATCCAATTTTTATGTTAATTAATGTTATATCCCCGGATATGTTTACTGCCAATTAGTTTTATTCTTAATACTGTTTAGCTCTTAATGCTATGCTCAATGTAAAAAGATTTCATTAGATTTGTTTTTGGGGCATTTACATAGATACCTCCCAATTCCAATGTATTTACATATCTAAGTTGAGCTTTTTACATTTCTATCACCCAAATATTTCATAACACAAAAAAATGCCACTATTTTTACATACATACCACTCAATCCCTATGTATTTACATATCTGGCACCAAACTTCAATTTTTATGTACTTGCCACCTTACCTATGCATGAAAGATGTATTTCACTTTTTAAAAATTAAAATTGTGGTTTTTTTTTATGTGATATGAAAGTTTTGGGTGGCATAACTGTAAAAAGTAAATTTTTGGTGTCAGATATGTAAATACATAGGAATTGTGTGGTATGCATGTAAATGCCCCTTAAAATTATATCGACCTTAAGTGGAGGTAAGGAGTTCAAATCCCATTCTCAAAAACTCTGATATGAAGTGCTTCACCCATGCATAGAAAATTTGAGAATGTTATTACTTAAGCACATCTCTTTATTAAAATAATCATTAAATAAATATGCATACATACCACTCAATTCCTATGTATTTACATATCTATCATCAACATACATACTATCTTATATAAGCATGAAAAGATGTATTTAACTTTTTAAAAGTTAAAAGGATGGTATTTTTGATATTGTATGAAAGACTTGGACGGTATCAATGCAAAACGTTAGGACTTAGATATGTAAATACACGGGTATTAGATGGTATGTATGAGAGGTGATATATGTAAATGCGTTAGAATTGTAATAGCAGCAGCAACAACAACAACAACAAAGTCTTAATCCCACTACATGGGGTCGGCTACTTGAATCCTTTTTCTCCATTGCGTCCTATTTAGTGTCATATTTTCATTTAGTTCTAGTAAATTGAGATCATTTTTAATACAAGAAAAGTCTTCCTAGGTCTACCTTTGCCTTTCTTAACATAAGTCGAATATAAAACATCTACTCTCCTAATCAGATCATCAGATGGTCGACGTTTAATGTGACCAAACCATCTATGACGACTTTCTCTAATTTTGTCCGTCAGAGGAACTACACCAACCCTATCACGGATATATTCATTTTGCATTTTGTCTCTAAGTGTAAAGCCACTCATCCACCTAATCATTCTCATCTTGGCAACACTTAACTTATTATTATGTCTCTCTTTTAAAGGCCAACATTCAACGTCATAGAGCATTGCAGGTCTCACCACCGTCTTATAAAATTTTGCTTTCAGTCTAAGCAATACTTTTTTATAGAATTGTAATAGCACTGTTATTCTTTTTAAAGAGTGGATACACCTTTTCTTGCATATGTTTAAAGCAATAAAGGTCTATGTATGTAAATATGGAAGCTTTGGGGGGTGTTTGGTAGCAACCTATTTACAGGATTTATCTTGAGGATTTACAAAATTCAGCCAAACATAAAAAAACGCAAGTTTCATAAATTTAATTAAATCCGGCGAGGAGGTGGATTTAATAAATTTGGTTTTCTAAATCCGACTAATGCTAAATTCTTCCTGCAGCCAAACACTCTCAGGTGCGAGATATGTAAATACATAAGAATTGTGTGCTGCATGTGTAAATTTCCCTTTTTTAACTGAAAATATTCTTCAAAATAACAGTTTTCTCTTTTTTATTGTTAATTTGTAGGTTTCTGAACAAGGGTTTATCAGATTTTAATCTGGCCTTAGATTTGGGTTTCTTAACCAAGGCCAGAAAGTACACATTCTTTAAGCCAAAGTTCATCTTCTACGCCACTTATCTCTCAGAAAAGATTGGATATTGGAGATACATTACCATTTATAGGCATTTGAAGGAGAATCCAGAGTATCAGCTCTACCCTATCTTCAAGTATTTTGAGAACTGGTGCCAGGATGAGAACAGGCATGGCGACTTCTTCTCGGCATTGATGAAAGCCCAACCTCAGTTCCTCAACGATTGGAAGGCGAAATTGTGGTCGAGATTCTTTTGCCTCTCGGTAAATTCTTATAATTTTTATTTTTGGTGTTTGAATCTTGCAATATTTTGGTTCTATCATGTAATGATTCTAACATTAGTTTACTCAATTTTTATTTGAGTAAAGTGTCAAAATAGTCCTCTAACTATTTGCATGGAGCTATTTAATCTCGGGTTTTATAAAAGTGTCGAATTAATCGACATACTCTTTTAAATTTACACATCTATAGACTATGGTACTAAAATGACCCTCTGCAAATGGTCGGATGATAATTTTGACACTTTTCTAGTTCTTATCTATTTATATATCTAACACCTAAAGTTGTGTATACGTAAGTACATGCATTGCATACCAATGCATTTATGTGTATGCATATATGACAACTTTAGATTATATATATATATATATATATATATATATATATATATACAAAAAAAAAATCGCCAGAGGCTATTATACGAGCCTCAAATCACTCCTAATATGCCTAATAATTTGAGTATCACCTCCTTAAGGCTAATTGTGACAGAAGAGATTCAAACTCTCGACCTGAGGGGTTTTATCCCGTGGATGCCAACCAACAGGCCGGGGTACGCGGTGACAACTTTAGATTATATGATGCTAATAGAACTATAAACAAATAGGGTTATCAAATTTTAACTATTTGGTTGACAAATTTCCAATAATTTTGTTGTGATATTGGCAATGGTTTCTTACATTTATTTAAAGGAGCATTTACATATATTCCGCTCAATTCTTATGTATCTACATATCTAACACTTAAATTTTACTTTTTACATTCCTACCATCTAAATCTTTCATTTCACGTCAAAAATACCTCCATTTTAACTTTTAAAAGGTGAGATACATCTTTTCATACATAGGTAACTTGGTATGCATGTAAAAATTGAAGTTCACGTGTTAGATATGTAAATACATAGAATTTGAGTGGTATCAATGTAAATCTTCCTTATTTAAAACTGACTTATAATAGTTTTTTGAAAAAAGAAAAAAACTGTTGATTTTGCAGGTTTATGTGACAATGTACCTTAATGATTGCCAGAGGACTGCTTTCTATGAAGGCATTGGCCTTAACACCAAAGAATTTGATATGCATGTCATCATTGAGGTATGATGATTTTTCTCTTGTGGAATATATAT